CCCCAAAAGCCTTCTGCCTTCCGCCCTGCAATTGTTTCCGCCCCCAAATATTTCCCAACTCCAATTAATTGCCGGTCCAAGAGAATTCCCCTGGCCCATCTCTTCTCCCCCAGCCTTGCGTCCAAAATTAACCACCCACCAAAAATGACAAAACCCTTGGCCCGAAAATCCTTCCTGGCCCATTTCGGCCCACTGCCCAATTGAGTATTCCACCAGTGGTTCGAGCCCGATTGATTGCTTGTGCACTCGCTTCTTTGTCGTGCTTTCTCAACCTGTAACATATCATACTCATGGCACTAGGCAGTAATGGTTTTTTCAAACCATTCTCGAGTTAGCGAGCCCTAAAATAGCACCAATTGGCTAAAACATACCATGGATAATCACATAAAGTCCCAAAATTCAATATGTTAAAGCCGATTATCACAAGAGTACAAGGAAATTTTGTGTTTTGCTTTGAGTGTTGAGTCTGTAATGTGTCATTGTTTTGGATGATTTTGAGTTTGTGTTATTTGAGTCGTTGCTTAGGGACAAGCAACAATTGAATTGCCAGTCGTCCTCCTTGGCATGCACGAGGAGGATAAACCTGAAAAATTCACCTACACACTAACACCCATATAAAAATAGTTCACTCACAAAAATCAACAAAAATAAGCTATGGCAGTCCCCGGCAACGGCGCAAAAACTTGATAGGGCAAAAGCGTATGCCTTAATCCTATCTCGTAGTAAACCGGAAAGTCCGGGTATCGTCTCTCAAGGACTGGGACAACCTTAAGTTCTATCAATTTTATTGAGCAAACTATATGTGAAAATGTTTAATGAGATGAAACTATGATCTAATAGCAAAGTAATGAAACAAAACAAGCAAATTAAAGTGTCGGGTTTAATTCAATGGAGAAAGCTCTGGGAGAAACACCGGGATTCACTACCTATCCTATCCAGATTAATTCACATATTCCAATCAATTTAATCCAACTCTCTACAGCCAGGATATCACGAATGGCATAAGCAGAGAAAAAGGATAAAGAGGGTCAGCTCATAGCTGAGTCAGATAATAATAGAATCATGAGTTCATAACAGAGCATACCCCTACCATACATCTAACAATCAAGCCAAAACACTAGGATGAGACCTCATCCATCCGACATCCCAATAGAAAAAAGACTCAACCACCTTGGCTTATGCATATGCATCTTATCATGTTTTAATCATAGGCGCCTGGCTACTCCCATGCTAATAACTATCCCAGGTAACATACCCCACATCCCGTCGGATGTAGTCATACATACCCCAACATCATGTCGGATGTGGTCATACATACCCCACACAACTATGGGTGTATTCCTACCCCGACACCGCTCTGGGTGTGTGCATATCTCGTAAGAAATCTTCAGTCACCACCACATGAGAGGTGTGACTATCATACATATCATAATAGAGTAATAGCATAGGGAACCCTAATTACTATGTAGTTGACCGTGAGACCACAACACTCATATTTGGTATCCTTATACATGATTCATATCTCATCTTGCTTAATCATAATCGTTACTTGCACATATACTTGACCTGGCCATAATTGGGTCAACATAGGTAAACTAGGAGTCGTATAGTTGCACTTCCTCAGGATAAACCCTTGTGCAAGTCATCCTCCTTAAAACATCATAATATCACCCTGGGAAGTTTATTTCCCCCACTTGTGAATCCAAATACAACCACAATATCACATCATGTCAAAACACCTGATCGAACAACCATGAAGTCATGTCAACAGTTAAGCCACAAATGGCAACATGTATGCAATCATCAGCATAAACAAGGTCCATATCGATTAGGGCAAGTCAATAATATCATACAGTAGTCCAGGGTTCAACATATAGCACAAAAGTTCATACACCCCTAATTATGTCATTCTAGTTCACCTAGGTCAATTCTAAGCATCAATATAATTATCGTAATACGACAAACCCGGTATGTCGTGCTAATCCCTCACCAGTTCTGGTCGTTCAAACACCGGTTCTTGCCTCCCGTACCCCAACTTCACTTTCTCAAACAAACCCGGAATCAAAATCCTTGATTGTCCTAATATCCCCGGCAATTTCCCTGTCAATGTTAGTTCTAGGCTCTGTATCATATTCTCGATAAAAATACATTAAACACTAGCCGAAGCAAAATTCAGCGATTTGGACCCCGACCTAAATAATTGCCAAAATTCATGGATTAGAACTAAAGGATTAATTATCTTGTTGCAGGAAGCTCGTATATGAAATGTGGGCTTAATCTGGCTTCTGGATACTTCGAAACCCTAATTTGGCTTATCGGAAATTCAAGAAATTCCTCAACCAAAAACTCATTTTAAAACACTAAATCGATAAACTATGATGTATGGATGGATTAGGCATTACTTACGGGATTTTTGGATCACTAGGGCTCAAGAATTGAGCTCTGGAAATTTCCCTCGTCCCTCCCCTGAACTGCTCTGCTCGCTTTGAACTCTCAGTCCGGGAAAATGGAAAAAGATGATGATGATGGGAATTAATGGACGGGGTAAGGTTTATACATATGTGCGGCCCGACCGCTTATTGTTTTTTTATATTAGTTATATATATATATATATATATATATATATATATATATATATATATAATTAATATGTATACTTATCTGATCGATCGATAATCCAATTTTCATCGAAATACTATCAAAATACCCGATTTTAAATCTTGAAATTTTCTAGCGATCGAAATACGAGTTAGCCGAAATGGGATGTTACAATTCTCCCCTCCTTAAAAAGATTTCGTCCCCGAAATATAACCTTTAGTCGTACCTTTAGTCCGCTTACTTATCCTTAATATGATCGATCGTACATAAAGCCATTACCTAACTCTTAGGTTAGGTGATTCATAGCATAGAAGGCAACACACAACATTTCAATTTCCCATGTTTAGGTTTTAAAAACCTATATTGGGTTATCACAGCAAAAACACATCAGCAAGTTCAAAACATAACTTATTAGGCAAGATGGTTAACCTGCAAAGTAGGTTGCTACTAACTCAAGGTACTTTTCTCAAATACTTGCTTCAGTCTCCCAGGTAGCACTCTCACTATCTTGATTTCTGCACACCACTTTCAACATTGGGATTTCCTTCCGACGAAGAGTCTTAATCTGGTTATCAACAATCTCAACTAGAACCTCCTCAAAAGTCAAATCTGGACCCAACTCGATCTCTTCTGGTTGTATAACATGTGAAGGATCCACTTTGTATCTTTTCAGCATGCTCACGTGAAATACATTGTGGATTTGAGATAGTTCTCGAAGCAATTCCAGTTTATATGCCACTGGTCCAATCTTCTCTGTGATTTCATAGGGTTCAATATACCAAGGTGCAAGTTTCCCTTTCTTACCAAATCTCATTACGCCTTTCCAGGGTGAAATTTGGGAAATACTTTCTCACCCACTTCGAAATTTACTTCACGCCTATTCGTGTCAACATAAACTTTATGTCGATCTTGAGCCACCCTCAAACGTTCCCTGATTTCCTTAACCTTGTCACAACATGCAATCTGACGATCTCCTTAATATATAGTTGAGACAGTCTCCGGTGATGGTTTCCACCTAATGGGTAAAAAGTGAGCCGATTTGGTCAGTCGGTCCACAATAACCCATACTGCATCTTTTCCCCTTGACGATGGGAGACCATATACAAAATTCATTGTGATTCTTTCCTACTTCCATTCTGAAATTGGAAGTGGTTGCAGTTTTCCCACATGAGCTTGATGTTCTGCCTTAACTTTCTAACATACTAGGCATGTGAAAACATGTTCAGCAGCTTCCTTTTTCATCCCACGCCACCAAAAATATGGTTTAATCGTGTGATACATTTTAGTTGCTCCTCGGTGCATAGCATAAGCAGAAGAATGAGCTTCATCTAGGATCTCTTTCCTCAAGTTATCAACATTAGGAACACATGCTCTTCCATTCATCTTCAACATGCCATCTACCATTTCAAATGGGCTTTCTTTTCCTTCCCTAATGTCTTGCATGATTTTACCAACTCTGAGTCCTCCTTCTGCTTCTCACGAATTTTGTCGTGCAACAAAGGTCGAATGTTCAACCGAGCTAGTAACCCTGTTACACCATCCACATCCAAATCAATATTCATTGTCGTCAAATCAACCAGATCATTTATATTCTTCTTCCCCTTTCTGCTTAGGGCATCAACAACTACATTAGATTTACCTGGATGGTAATCAATTGTACAATCATAATCTTTTAGAAGTTCAATACCTCTCCTCTGGCGACTATTTAAATCCTTCTGATCCATAATATACTTCAGGCTTTTATGATTAGTGAGGATTTTAAAAGTCTCACCATACAAATAATGTCGCCAAATCTTGAGAGCAAATACCACCGCTGCCAGTTCTAAGTCATGAGTGGGATAATTTACTTCATGAGGACGCAATTGCCTAGAGGCATATGCGATAACTCTTCCATCTTGCATTAACACACAACCCATCCTTGATACGAGGCAACACTATACACCACGAACTCTCCATGGTTTGAAGGTAAAGCCAGTACTGGTGTTGTGGTCAATTTCTTCTTCAGTTCATTAAAACTCTTTTGACATGATTCATCCCAAACATACTTGGTATTCTTCCTCAACAGTTTAGTCAATGGTGCAGCAATTTTGGAAAATTCTTCGACAAACCGCCGATAATAACCAGCCATGCCAAGAAAACTTCTCAACTCATACACATCTTTTGGCGGAGTCCAACTTACCACTGCTTCCACCTTTTTCGGATCCACCTCCACTCCTCTTCCAAAAATTACATGTCCCAAAAATATTACCTCCTTCAGACAAAACTCACATTTTGAGAATTTCGCATATAATTGTTTCTCCCTTATAATTTGCAATACAATTCTAAGGTGATTTTTGTGCTCCTCTTCGCTTTTAGAATAGATGAGAATATCATCTATGAACACAATCACAAACTTATCAAGATATTCATGAAAAATTCTATTCATAAGAGCCATAAATACCTCTGGCGCATTAGTGAGTCCAAAAGGCATTACCAGGAACTCATAATGCCCATATCTTGTTCTAAAAGCTGTCTTTGAGGTCGCTCCATCTGCCACTTTTAGTTGATGGTATCCAAACCTCAAATCAATCTTAGAAAGACTGATGCACCATGCAATAGATCAAACAAGTCATCTATTCTTTGCAGGGGATAATGATTCTTCACTGTTGCTTTATTCAACCTCCAGTAGTCAATGCACATTCTCATGGAGCCATCTTTCTTCTTGACAAACAAAACCAGTGCACCCCAAGGTGAGATGCTAGGTCGAATAAACCCCTTGTCTAGCAATTCTTGCAATTGTTCTTTAAGCTCCTTCAACTCAATTGGTGCCATTCTATATGGTGCCATTGAAATTGGTGTTGTGCCCGGTACCAATTCAATATCAAACTCTACTTCCCTTTCTGGTAGAAGGCCATGAAGTTCTTCGGGGAATACATTAGGAAACTCCCTTACCACCTCTAAACCTCAACCTTCTTCTCATTTACAACAGTAACTTGAGCAAGAAAGGCTTCACAACCTTCCTTCACTAATCAAAAAGCTTCCAAGGCAGAAAGAAAACCATGAGTCTCCTTTTTCTTAATGCCTCGGAATACAACAAGAAATTTATCTGGTGTGTTGAATAACACTTCTTTCTTTTGACAATCCACAACAGCTCCATGTGTTTCCAGAAAGTCCATCCCAAGGATGACATCGAATTCATCAAAAGGTAGCAGAATTAAATCTGCTGCTAGGAAAGCTCCTTCCACACAAATGAAGGAACTTTTAATAACCGAATCTACCTTCAAGGTATCTCCCACAGGTGTTTTAACATTTAAGGTATAACCTAGCTTATCTGGGACTAAGCGTAGCCTATGTGCAAATGTATATGACATGAATGAGTGCGAGGAACTAGTATCGATCAAAGCATATAATTGCTTGCCAAGGATAGAAAGCATACCAGTCACAACTTCTGGTGCCACTTCTGCCTCACCTCAAGTCATTGCATAAACCCTCGGTGCTCCCTGTGCTCTGGTACCCTGTGTACCACTTCTTGATTGCTGATTTTGACCACCACCTCTACCACCCTGTGAACCACCACGACAACTCTGAAATCCACTACAGCCTCCCTGGTAATCACCCTTGAATGGGGCTCTACTAAATTTCACTGAAGGCTAGGACAATGTAGCTCTTACTTCTCTCGAATGCGGACAATCCCTCATGATGTGCCCAGGTTGGCCACATTGAAAACATACACCAGAAAATCTCCTACACTCTCCAAGATGTCTCTTCTGACAAACTTGACAAAATGGAAATTGTGTGGCTGAGGAAACTAGTGCCCTGTATGATGTTCCTGGCATAGACTGACTTGGTTTTCTCCCATAAGCACTAGGACCCTTCCTTGATGGATAACGAGGTGCAGAATAATTTACTCCTAACTTCCTTTTCTTTTCTTCCTCCTTCACCTTGTGTTCCTCTCGAACCTAAACTTCATAGGCTTCATACTTAAAAGCTGCCTCCTTGATTGTGGCCATGCTCTCTTCATCAACCCTGTGGATCTTTTCTTTCAACCCTAGGCGCAGCCCATGCAAGTATCTCATCTTCTTCTTATGCTCAATATCCGCCAACCTATCTTCAAAGTAGAGTAGTCGAACAAAGTTGATGGTATACCCAGTAACTGTCATGTTCTCCTGCTTAAGGTTGGCGAATTCATTATTCTTTTCCCTGATAAAAGCTTCGGGAAGAAACTCTGTCTTAAAGGCCTTCAGGAACTCCTCCCAGGTGAACTGAACTCGTTCACCATTACCTCTAGAGACTGAGGACCACCAACTCCTCGCGTACCCATTTAGGAAAAAAACAACATATTGCATTTTTTCCTCTGGGGTTGCATAAAGATACTCAAACACATCTTCCATCTCTCTCAACCACTCTACTACAACATCTGGACTCACATCTCCCTTGAAGTCCCTACTACCCAAACTCTTTATCTTTGCATAGTCTAATACTGGCGGTCTTGCATCAACCTCCCCCACTCCTCTCGACTGGTCAGTAGGAACATTATGAAAACTTCCGTGAGAGCTACAAGGAAATATTGGCCTTAGATTGATCCACACAAAATTCATTCTTTACCCACTCTCTCACTTGGTTAAAACTAAATTTTCCCAAAATAATTACTTGAAAACAAATAAGTCCAAAACTCAATTTTGAAAACTATGATGCAGGTAATTTCATCAAACATACCAATACACATAATTATGTCAAACTCAATTCCCAGTTTAAGTCATTATGGGGTACTCCCCTCCTTAGGAGTGTTTAACCTCCCATTGGGTATAGTACGCCATAATAGCAAAAAGAGGGAACCGGGCTCTGATACCAAACTGTAACACCCTACCCTGTACGTTTTGACTAATCATAATGTTCATACATTTGCAGCGGAAATAATCTCGGGTGTTACATTAATTACCAAAATTTACCCAAATAAAATTTCGATAGGAATTACCCGCGTAATGGGTTAACAGTTCTTGCACCTTATCCTGCAAAATAATTCATCTGAATCCCTTCATTCGTAGACATACAAATATACTCATAACCTTATACATTGCTTCTCATAGCCATAGGCACAGTTTCATACTCGACAACTGCATACCTTACTAATACATGTCATAGTCGTCACAACTTACACAACCACACAAATATACACATATCATCAACTTCCCACACCTGTGGATATCTCACTCTACATCAGAAGCTAGTATTCACATGAAAAACGTTCTCAAAACATTTTTACAAAAAGGTTTGCATCACTGGCCAAAATCCCAAGTAGTCGTCCAAGCACATAATAGTTGAAGACCATACCTCATCTTGCCTTCAACTCTTGCTTAGCTCCCACCTATACACCTATCTACTGCTGCTGATGATGATGATCTACTTACACATGGCATAAGTAGAGAAAAAGGATAAAGAGGGTCAGCTCATAGCTGAGTGAGATAATCATAGCATTGTGAGTTCATAACAGAGTATACCCCTACCATACATCTCACAATCAGGCCAAAACACTAGGATGAGACCTCAGCCATCCGACATCCCAATAGAAAAAAAGACTCAACCACCTTGTCTTATGCATATGCATCTTATCATATTTTAATCATAGGCGCCTGGCTACTCCCATGCTAATAACTCTCCCGGGAAACATACCCCACATCTCGTCGGATGTAGTCATACATACCCCAACATCCCGTCGGATGTGGCCATACATACCCCACACAACTATAGGTGTAGTCATACCCCGACACTGCTCTGGGTGTGGTCATATCTCGTAAGAAATCTTCAGTCACCACCACATGAGAGGTGTGACTATCATACATATCATAATAGAGTAATAGCATAGGGAGCCCTAATTACTATGTAGTTGACCATGAGACCACAACACTCATATTTGGTATCCTTATACATGATTCATATCTCATCTTTCTTAATCATAATTCGTTACTTACACATGTACTTGACCTGACCATAATTGGGTCAACATAGGTAAACTAGGAGTCGTATAGTTGCACTTCCTTAGGATAAACCCTCGTGCAAGTCATCCTCCTTAAAACATCATAATATCACCCTGGGAAGTTTATTTCCCCCACTTGTAAATCCAAATACAACCACAATATCACATCATGTCAAAACACCCGATCGAACAACCATGAAGTCATGTCAACAGTTAAGCCACAAATGGCAACATGCATGCAATCATCAGCATAAACAAGGTCCATATCGATTAGGGCAAGTCAATAATATCATACAGCAGTCCAGGGTTCAACATATAGCACAAAAGTTCATACACCCCTAATCATGCCATTCTAGTTCACCTAGGTCAATTCTAAGCATCAATATAATTATCGTAATACGACAAACCCGATATGTCGTGCTAATCCCTCACTAGTTCTGGTCTTTCAAACACCGGTTCTAGCCTCCCGTACCCCAACTTCACTTTCTCAAACAAACCCGGAATCAAAATCCGAGATTGTCCTAATATCCCCTCCAGTGTCCCCGTCAATGTTAGTTCTAGGCTCCATATCAAATTCTCGATAAAAATACATCAAACACTGGCTGGAGCTAAATTTAGCGATTTGGACCCCGACCTAAATAATTGTCAAAATTCATGGATTAGAACTAGACGATTAATTACCTTGTTGTAGGAATCTCGTATATGAAATATGGGCTTAATCTGGCTTCCGGATACTTCGAAACCCTAATTTGGCTTATTGGGAATTCAAGAAATTACTGAACCAAAAACTCATTTTAAAACTCTAAATCGATAAACTATGATGTATGGATGGATTAGGCATTACTTACGGGATTTTTGGATTACTGGGGCTCAAGAATTGAGCTCTGGAAAATCCCCTCGTCCCTCCCCTGAACTACTCTGCTCGCTCTGAACTCTCGGTCCGTGAAAATGGAAAAAGATGATGATGATGGGAATTAATGGACGGAGTAAGGTTTATATATATGTGCGGCCCGACCGCTTATTATTTTTTTTATATTAATTATATAATATATATATAATTAATACGTATACTTATCCGATCTATCGATAATCCAATTTTAGTCGAAATACTATCAAAATATCCGATTTTAAATCCTGAAATTTTCTAGCGATCGAAATACGAGTTTAGCCAAAATGGGATGTTACAATAGTCTTCATAGCTAAATATATTGATGGTTTTGCTACGTATAGTCAATTTTGTAGCAAGAACCTATCACCTTTTTTTGCTATGTTACATGTAGTTCATAGTTAAAAAATTAATTTTAGCCACGTAAGTGAAAGAATGCGTAGCTAACTTTTAGCTGCGGCACTTTTAGCCACACAAGCTACAAAGTGAATTATTTATAGCTATATGATGTAGCTACAAAATAATTAGTTTTAGCTATGAAAAAAGTCATGACTGTATGTGTGTTTTCTTGTAGAAATAAATGTTGGAACCTTCAAGTACTTCCCTGCAAAGGCACCTTGTCTCCTTTCCTTTTTCACAATAGCCATGAAAGTTGCATCATCTATCTTGATGATAGTTGTAGATTATCGATCGTCACCCTGTAATCCTAGATGAAGCAAATTGGAATTACACACTTGGCATTTGTTGATGACCTACTTATTTTCTCAAATAAATCAGACGAGGCAATGAGGGGTGTTTGTAGTTTGTTCCAAATATTCTACAAATTATTTGGACTAAGATTCATATTCTAGAAATTATATGGGCTCATGGTTTTTTTCTCAAGAACCTATCATATTCTAGAAAATGTTTTATGATAAGAGATAAGGTAGAGAGATTCATTACTTTCTACGTGAATAAGGTATAATGGAACAATAAAAGAATGTTATGGTACTCTATAAAGATGGTATGGAATGATATCAAGCGATACACTCTAGTGTGCCTTTGTATTATCTAATTTGGTCACCTTACATGTTGTCACGACATAGTTTTATTAGTTCGCTAGTTACTAATGACAAGATAGTCGCTAAGGGGAAGCTTAACCAATGAGGTAATATTATTAATGACATTTTTAAACTATGTGGAATGGTTCCAAAAACCATCTCTCACTTGTTTTTTCAGTGTGCCTAATTTGATAAAGTCCTTAAAGGTAGTATGCAACCGGTAAAATTGGTGTGTAGACCATGTATGGGGTTCGAAGAGTATCTTGATTAGGTAGTTCAAAGATTTGTAGGTGTTTTCCGGCGAGAAAACTTGCATTGAAATGAGATTAATGCACCTTTGACTTCTTTGGGCAACGATTATTAAGACACGATTCACACCTCTTCAAACAAAGTTCGAACGAGGGTGTTTGATTGATGGTTTTTGGGAACGAGATCTAAATTAAATTAGTTCTACTCCTATGGAGGTTCGGCGAGAGCTCCAAACTACGAACTACATCTATGGCTACATGATAGAGAAAAGGTAAAGGATAAACTTGACATGTGTGTCAGAGTATTGTTTTTGGAACCTCTGTGTCTGTCGACCCCTCCTCTTATTTATAGCCCCGAGGAGGTAACCGCCATAGAAAACCGCTTGTTGGATAACTGCTACAAAGAACCGCTCCTCGTTCTTCGGTAGAAAACCGCCTCTTGGATAACTCCCAAAAAGAAGTGCTCCCTGCTTCCTCGAAGTGGTGGTTACTCTTTCAACCGCCTAAGTGCCTCTCTTGGAACCGTCGTGGGTTTTGGAGTGTAACTTGCCTTGCCTGGTCTTGTTTTGAATCTCGTGCCATGTCCATGGCCCACTTGGGACTTAGTCATACTGATATAGTGCTCCACCACCATGCCCTTCTCATTCGTGTCCATGGCCACTCTTGTGAAGTGGCATGGACTTCTCAATCATGCACAAAGCCCCTCGCAAGAGGGACCATGGCCTTTGCCATACTTAGTATTTTCAATTATTTCTAATGCTTCTTGCTTCGCGTCCATGGCCATCACATGACACGGCCATGGAGCTCTTAATCATGCACATGACCCTTCTCGTGAGGCGGCCATGATCATGAGGCGACATGGCCTCCTCATTTGCGGCCATGGACTTCTCAGTCATGTCTGGGCCCTTCTCGTGACACAGCATGGCCCTCTCATACTTAGTATTTTTTCTTGCGTCCATGCCCCTTAGACGTCTCATCTTGTCTCGCGTACATTCCCCTTCTCGTGACTCGGCATGGACGTCTCATTTTGTCTCGCGCCCATGCCTCTTCTCGTGAAGCGAGATGGCACGTGCTTCTAGATTTTAGATGGACATGACCCTCTTCGCTGAGGCGGCATGTCACTCTCCAGACTTAGTGGCTTGGGCTTAAAATCAATATGCATAAGGCCCAACTTAAACAATAGTAATTGTTATAATGGGTGTGGACTTATAAACTCATTGATTATCTTGTAACTCACCAATGTGGTACAAGACAAATTTTATGGTGTAAACAAATGTCCCACAACTACTTAGTGTTTAAGGATTATGGACTAAGTAGTTGAAACCAACTTGACTATCTAATTGCCTACCACAACTCAACGAGCTTACCATGATACTATCCATGATGTGGCATTAAAACCACAAAACCCTTAGTCAATTTTGGCTTTAAGTAAAAACCATAACCACGTACCTCCCTTTATTTTTCTAAGAACCTGTATGCTTCATGGCCTAGTGAAATTGGTGGCATATAAGCCATGTTGCAAAGTGAGATGGCCCAACGCCAGCAAACCATCACTTGCTCACTCTCTCCATGGCCAATTGACATAGGTCTCCCAGTCCCCTCCTGTCCTCGAAATTCGCCCTCGCAGCCTACAAATTAAAGAAGACTTGGATCGG